CCCCCCCCCTAACCATCACACTCGCTTTCAAACACTGGAAATCATTATGTGGAATTTTGGAGCTAGGCTTATGGGCAGCTCTGCTCATATGTTCATGCCACACTGATAAAGGCTGCCGCTGGTGACAGTCTTTTAAGATGTGTTTCCTTCAGATTTTACAAGCCAACTTCAACTGTAAGAGAATGTCTGTTTAGCTGTATTTCCTTCTAATTTTACCAGCCAACTTCTATCGTAAGAGAAAGTCTTTTCAGTTGTATTTCATTCTAATTTTACCAGCCAACTTCTACCGTAAGAGAGCCACGCTAAACATCGATTACGGCAACAGTACCACCGGTCAAACCAAATTGTGGACGGCTTACGGCGCCATCATCTACTGCTACTCCATCATCACGACCATTGGTATGTCATTGGCATATACTTGTATTGGTATGGAATTGTATTGTTGTATTGGTATCTAATTGTTGCACGACCATAGGTATGGCATTGTTGCACGACTATTGACATGAAATTGTATTGTTGTATTGGTGTGTAATTGTTGCATGAGATTTTGTCGTGTGTATTATGTTGAATGATTTATTTACTGAAACCATGCATTTGAAAAGGAAATTGATTTACAAACTGCTTAAATGGGTTGTGTTTAGAGAAGGGAATAAAATTGGGTGTTTAATTACCACGCACTGTGTCACAACAACACTGTACTCAAAGAACTTTTGAATGAAAGCAAATCTTAATTGGAAGCCATAAATTTTCTTCCTTCGTCATAAATCCCAAGTAATGTGTTGAAATTAGTTAAATATTTGCCTAAGACAAAGGCTGTCATGTTATGACAAGACTCGGTAGGTATACACATAATTTCCCGGCCGAGTCTTCGTTATTCAAACAAGCGTGCAATTCTTTTGTCGAGCTGTTAAAATCAAACTAAGGCTTAACCGAATGAAGTTTTAATTTACCATGGGTCTGGGTCTTTTAGGAAATAGACCACAGACAGTTCTACGCCCTACCTGCCAGCCTTTGAACAATAGGCTTTCAGACAGTGTTACTACCTACCTGCCGGCCTTTAAACAACAGGCCTACCGCCAGTCCAACACCCTACCTGCGGCCAGGGGCGTTGTTTGGGTAGGGTAGGGTGGGGCATTTGCCACCCCCTACCCCATGAATTTGTAGGTCCTATTTAAATTTATATGTAGTCTGGCGCCTCCAGTAATTAAAAAAAAACTGTAGAAGTTTACCAAGTTTTTGTTTTGCCCCCCCCCCCCCTTGAAAAACCCTGAAATGATGCCCCTTCCAGCGATCATTTTATTTGTAGGTCCTATTTAAATTTATATGATGTCTGGCGCCTCCAGTAATTAAAAAAAAACTGTAGAAGTTTACCAAGTTTTTGTTTTGCCCCCCCCCCCCCTTGAAAAACCCTGAAATGATGCCCCTTCCAGCGATCATTTAAACAATAGTCCTACAGAAGTCCTGCACCCTACCTGCCGACCTCTGAATAATAACCCCTGCGACAGTCCTACACTACGCATGTGGCTCTTTTTTTATTAATATAATAGCCGCCTCCGAAAAAATTCAAACTGCTCCCATGAGCTCAAACTGCTCCCATGAGCGTGACGCTCGCTGCTTGTGGGCATTTTTTCCAGTACCATTCCTATAACACATGATGAGTATGGAGATGGTCGGTTGTGAAAAGGAAGCAGCCACACCAGAAGCAAAAATACGTATGATAGACGCGAACCATCCTCCAAGGGACTCGTTCACCAGCGTATACCGTCTGTCATCCGCTATAGGTTGGGGTAACATCGTGGCCTCCACCCTGCCTGGCCGTATGGCCACGATCGTCTACGGCCTGTTTGGCATGCCGCTGCTGTTCACGCTGAGCACGGACGTGGGCAACATCGTCTCCTTCTGCAACCTCAAGCTCTGGCACCTGCTCAAACAGTGAGGAGTCTCTTTTTTCCCTTTATTTTTTTTTTTTTTTTGGGCGACGGAATTGAAGGCAGTTGGTCTAATTTGCCATAGTGTAAACACAAATATAAATGCGTTTGCTTTTCAGATCCTTTAGATTAGCTTCGCTTTTCTTCGTGGCTTGCTGCCAAAGTCTTCCGACGGGCTAATTGACCCACTTCCCGTCGACCTATCGATCTGAAGCTTGACGCGTAGTGTCGTCGCCAAAGACAACACATGATATCCAATGTTAATCCCCAACCACTAACCTCTAGCGCCTTCAAAATTAGTTTTTGCTATTTTTCAAGAGGACGATAAAGGGAATATGATAACACAAATTTCACGAAATAAAAATTCACGATAACTGAACTAAATGAGATTTTTTTTTTTTTTATATCACAATGGCGAAAAAAAAAAAAAATTCTGAAATAGTTATGAAATAAATCTGCGGTGTAAAAATGGATAAGTCATTAGAATATTAATATAGTTCAGGGGCGTGAAAAAAAAATGGTGTTTGCGATCCTCGGAAAGGGGGGGAGGGGGAGCCCTTATTGGGATTCTTATAAAAGCGTTATTTAAATCCATGTTTTGCCCAGTAAGTGGTCATCCATTAAATACGTCAACTATTTTTAGCAATTTTTACCCCTCCCCCCTTTGTCAACAACTGTCAAACTTTCAATGACCCCCCTATTAAATTATGTCAAAATTTTCTACCCCCCCCCACTCTCAAAAAAAAAACAAAAACAAAAAAAACGATAAAGGAATTATGTCATAAATAAATGTATAATTACATTTTACTTTGTGCTGATCTATTTTAATGACACAAAATTGTAGAAAACAAAATATAATTACATCTTTAGCTTGTTAATCAACAAGTTAAAAAGTTCTTACGCTTAAATTTTATACGCGGAATCAATTGAAAGGTTGTTAAAGACTAAATATCATTGTTTGCGGTAGAACTATGACTATTGTTAATAAAGCCGACACTTATAGCATAGTCTCTAGCTGCTATGTTGTTAAAGACTAAATATCATTGTTTGCGGTAGAACTATGACTATTGTTAATAAAGCCGACACTTATAGCATAGTCTCTAGCTGATATCATCTTCCCACGAAGTGGCCAGGTGTTGCTCTATCGTAACAAAAGGGGAAAAGGGCCATCATTTGGGTAGAGCAGGCGGCCATTTTACCCCCACTCCTAATTTGCAGGTTTTATTTAAATTGCTATGTACTGTGGCGCCCCCAGTAATAAACAACTTAACAAGCTGACCAAGTTTTGGTTTTGCCCCCCCCCCTTTTTTTTTAAAAAACATGAAATGACGCCCCTGATGGGCACAGTCTATAGTAGCTGATTTATCCCTTTCATCTTGCGGCACTTATCCTCATCTAACCATTCAGCACTTAAAATAGAAGCAATATTCGGTGTTAGCAAAAATGCCATTAGCTCTCTCTATCTCCGTGCAGCTACTCGCATTGGTCCTTTTTGAGTCCTCTTTTTGTTGAGGAGCAGGTGCTAATTTTTTATGCTCAAGAGGACATTGTCGGTGCTGTTGAACATGCTTTTTCAACATGACAAAAAATTCATATTTGGGCGCCCACGATCAATTCATTGATCATTTGGCTCCGGGTTTCAATTCAGTGTTAGCCGTCTCTTATCTGTGTTTCCTTCCAAGGCTGACGAGTCCCATCCACCAGGGGTGCTTGTGATTTTGGCTTTGGCGGGATTGAACTCCAGACCACCAGCTATTTGGAGTGAGTCAGTTTAGACCACTTGGCCACCCAGCTCCCTTGTGATGCAAAATAGATTTTACAGATTTTGTAGATCCGTTCAAGCAGCTATGATATTATTGTTACTCACTTTTCATTCACCTCAAAATATCGTATTCCTACTCTATCAATATAATTTATCTTGACTGAACATGAAACTTGAACCTTGTCCATGCCCCATACCTGTAACAGAATCTACAGGTGAAGAGAGGCCAACTTTTGACTTCTCTGGCACTAAAAAAAGTGTGCTAACATTCTGACCAGACATCTGCAGTGCACGGACAGACACACATTAAATAAATCTTATGTTGTTAAAAGCCCAAAAGTTATATGACTATTTACACACATTTAAACTTATAAATTTTTAAAAATAATATAATAACTTGTACATTTTTAAAGATTAAAATTTTAATATCGAAAACATGATTGTTGACGTCAACTAATCTAAACCCCCTCCCTCCCCCCTTGTCAACACCTGTGAAGCATTTCCAAACCCCTTCCCCCCCCCCTCTTATTTGGTTAACGTAATTAATGGACGCCCCCTTACTTCAGTATATGGGAAGTTCACGCATTGCCACTGCCATCACATGGTCGGTTATTTCTAGTTTACTTTTAATTTTAATCATTTAGCCTTACGATATCAACCTTAAACCTAACGAATCAAGTGATGCTTTACAAACAAACAAATATTTCAGTATTTACAAGAAAATCTACCGCCTAACACTAAACAAGGACCACCATCACCACCATCATCACCACCATCACCATCAACAAGGGAAGGCTGGCAAAAAAGACGACGACGACGAGGACGATACGAAGAGCAAAAAATCGCGTTCGTCCGGCTCACTGGGCAGCGGGGGCAGCAAGAGCAGTTTGGCGAGCCGTGGGAGCAGGTCATCGACAGCATCTCACGTGTCCCTGACATCCGACTCCTTTGGTGGATCCATGGATGACTTCTCTCCGAACAGATATTTCTCTGACCCTGGGGAAGTGACGAGTTTGAACGTCAGGTACCCTCGCGACGACTCCAAGGGGTATCCGAGGTACTTGAATAAAGCCAAGAACAATGCCGCTTACTTGGCCAGCGTCGAATCCACGATTGACTTCATAATGGAGTTCACCAAGCTAAAAGACGACGCCGACGCCGTCTACCGATATCCTCACAAAAGAATTCTGTGTAAGCGCGACGCTGTGCGACTCAGCGAGAAGTTTGATTCCATGTCGGTGAATGAAATCGTGAAGTGCATGGAGTTTGCCGGATTTCCCATGGAACAGTTTGAGACTATTCTAGAAGACATGCGCGAGAAGCACGAAAATGGTGGGGCTAGGTCATCAGTCTCCTCCCATACTGTATCGGACAATGACATTATACTAGGTCAACCGGAAACTGTGGAATCGTTCGAGAGTAAAACAAAACAGCGAGTAGTTTATGATGATGATGATCACGCCAGGGGAGATAGCCTCAAAGAGGCAAAACGAGAAATCGAAGATCAAGGAGGAGGCGAACCTCAACGCCTGAACCGCAATGATTCAAAACCGCCTGACAGAGCTTTTCAGAAGAGGACCAAGCTCACTCAGACGACGCGTCAACTCAGCTCACACACTCAGGGGGAAGCCGTTGAAAACGTCGCTAAATGCCGTGATGGGTCAACAAGATCTTGCCCTCCAGCCAAGGCAAACGGTCCTGGCTTCATCAGCGAGAGAGCTGGAGACGTGCTTGACGTGAAATCTTTAGCAGAAGGACACTTCAATCCACTACAGAGGCCACACAACCGGCCACACGCAGTTGAATCTAGGTCAGGGCCGTGTGTAGGAGACAAGGGGATGCTAAGGAATGGACATGGCGACGGCGAATTCACCAGGCCGCTTCCGGAAAATACATCTCATTCGTATGAAGGCTTTAATGAAACCCAGGCCAAGACGCGAGAGATCAGTAAACTGGCGTCAGGGGTGAAATGTAATGCTGCATTGGATGGCTCATGTGACATTGAAATTGCCAATTTTTCCACATCAGCTGCCACTTCAATGGTTAAAGAAAGTAAGGATTTCGAAGTTAATGGAAACGTTTCTTTGGAAACGAAATCACACGGGACCATTGAAGATACAGCTAAACAGACGGATCTCACAGAACCTATCAAAAATGTGCGTTGCGCACGTAATGACAAAACCGCCGTTAAAATGGGCGACGACCTGGTCGGCTCAAGAACCAAAAGACTTGCGGAGATTTTCAACACTGTCTTCCAAGTTGAACGGATGGGCTTCGGTCTGAATGATCCAAAATTTAACGTCGACAATGACGCTCTCGTAGGCATTCGCGTGAGTACAACAGAATTGACTGCGGCTAATTTATCAAAACACAACTCGTTGCTCTACGATGCTCCTCCTAAATATGAAAAGCTCAAGCATTTTGCTGGACAGCGCAGCAGAGTTGATTCGACACCAAAGAACGAAGATTATGAGTTTGTTAAAAAATGGAACATTCAACGTAAGAAACCTCAGCATCTTCGCGCGTACCCAGCTGTGTTATCCGCAGCTGGGAGTAACGACATGCAGAGTCACGTTTCGTTATCCTCGGGTCGAAAACCGGAGGCGATACCCAAGGAGAAACAGCTCATCGATTATTTCGTATCGGTAGCTGTTGGGGACAGGGAAGGGACAGATTTAGACGTGCATAGCTTCACGAATCCCGAAACCAAAGTTTCAAGTCTGGCTTTAACATCCAAATGTCAAATACCTGAGCAAAATGAGAAAACGATTGATTTGACCTCAAACAGTCCAACGCTTAAGAATGCAGAAGCAACACTTCAGTCTTCTGATGGTCAAATTGAGCCCCAGACAATTGCAAGTTCTAAAGAAATGAAAAGCCATCCTGTGATGAACACGATCGGTGATCCTCAACAGAGCCGAAATCTGCCTCGAATTTTACAACCACACCAAAACAAGAAAATAAGCTTAGTTCAGGGCGAATCTGTAAATTTTGAATCGGTCGTGACGTCTGATGAGAATCAATTACACCTGCAGGCAGGCGCTTGTGTAGAGTTAAGGGGAAAACATTCCAACGCCGGCATTGACAGAAAGGCTTCTATTACAGGGAACGATTCAAAACAACCAGCCCTATGCGAAGAGACTTTACGATTTGAAGGTTCTAGAGCAAAAAACTATGAGCGAATTTTGCGCTCTCACACCGAAGAAATGAAATCTCGATTGGGCCGGGTCAAGGTTCACGGTCCCCAGCCCATGGATTACAATCAAAGCGCCGACGAAGACGAATTGGAAGCTCAGGCCAAGCGAGACATCCTGCAGGTGATGATGAAGAAAAAGAAGCAGTACCTCGCCCGGGCCATCGACGAGGAGGACGACGAGGAAGAGGACGACGACGACAACAAGAAAGACGACGGGAACCAGGCCGAGGACTACCACCTGCCGCTGCTGGTTCTGTACGCGTTCGTCATCATGTACGTTCTCATCGGCAGCACCGTGTACTACACGCTGTCCTACGACAGCAGCTTCACGTTCCTGGACGCGATATACTTCATCTACGTCCTCCTGTCGACCACCGGCTTCGGGGACATCCTCCCCGAGAATCACATGTACTACTTCACGGCCGTGTACGGCCTCCTCGGGATGGCCATCTTCAACGTCCTGATCAATGCCACGCTGGAGACGCTGCTGTCGGCTCTGGACTACATCAATGCGATCGCCGTAGCGGTCGACAATGACGAGTACTTTGACGAGGCGTCCGGGTCTGAAACCTCGTACGACTAATGAAATATCTATCTGTTATTTATAGAGTTTTTATGTGATTTTGATAGCAGCATCTACCTTTTGTATCCTGATACACACACATACACACACACACACATATATATATATATATATATATATATATATATATATATATATATATATATTTTTTTTTATATATATATATATAATTATTTGTTTATTTTTTTTTATATATTTTTGTTTTTTTTTTTTTTTTTTTTTTTTTTTTTTGTATCCTGATACACACACATACACACACACACATATATATATATATATATATATATATATATATATATATATATATACTCTGTTCAATAATTGAATAAAGAATTATTTGTTTATGCTATTCTAGATTCATGTCATTTTGTGTTGTTGTTTTTTTTTGTTGTAATTACAGTAGTTTAACTTTAACCTTGCTCGACTCGTCTGTGAAACATTGATGGAAAGTTTAACAGAAGGTTGCGCGTAGAAGCATTGTGAGTAGTGACGAGTGAAGTTTAAGAGGTAGAGATAGGGAAATAAAATGAAGGACGATACGCTGTAGATCAGTGTCCCTTGAAGTGATGGTCAGTGCACAAGCTCGCTATCTCCAAGCCACTGGCCCGAAAAAAAAGAATTTAAAATCAAGGAGAAAAAAAGGCATAAAAGCCACTATTCCTGATGTATTGGAGATTGTGGGCGCCATTGACGGTGGCTTGAGATTTAAAAACTCACAAACGGTCAATAATTCTTTCCTCAAAATTCCAGCGTGGGTTCATAATATAAAATAAGAAACAACAATTTTGGACAAGGAACTTTATTTTTCAATAATCTCTGTCAAGAATATTTTGAACATAAGTGAGTTTCTAGAAGAAAAAAAAATTCTTAAGCATATCATGGTAGAGATCAAAGCCATATTTATGTACAATTATACAGGCAATGACATCGACATGTAGAATATTACTATATTATTTTGTTTTCTTAAAAGGTCTGATTAGGTATTTAAATGTCATTGCATATTTTAAAAGTGGAATTTGTTTTTAAAGTGTTAGTCGGTGTCAAGGTAAAAGTAACTGAAAAAGTAAAAGGTCTTAAATCTCAGTAACAATTATACTCTTGACCACTGCCGCTGAAGACTTTGGCAGCACTGAACAGTTGTCAAGGACCTCGCGCTTCTAGGGAGTGGGAGAAGGGCATCACGCTGCTAGGGGACCTAACGCGTCTAGGGAGTGGGAGAAGGGCATCACGCTGCTAGGGGACCTCACGCTTCTAGGGAGTGGGAGAAGGGCATCACGCTGCTAGGGAGTGGGGGTAGGGCATCACGCTGCTAGGGAGTGGGGGTAGGGAGTCACGCTGCAAGGGGACCTAACGCGTCTAGGAAGTGGGAGAAGGGCATCACGCTGCTAGGGGACCTCACGCTTCTAGGGGACCTCACGCTGCTAGGGGACCTCGTGCTTCTAGGGAGTGGGGGTAGGGCATCACGCTGCTAGGGGACCTCACGCTGCTAGGGGACCTCACGCTTCTGAGGACCTCATGAATCTAGGGGACCTCACGTTTCTATGGACCTCACGTTTCTATGGGACCTCACATTTCTAAGGACCTCACGTTTATAAGGACCTCACGTTTCTAGCGGACCTCACGTTTCAAGGGACCTCACATTTCTAGGGGACCTCACGTTTCTAGTGGACCTCACGTTTCTAGGGGACCTCATGTTTCTAAGGACCTCACGTTTCTAGAGGGCATCATGCTGCCCACATTGTTAATGTAAAGATCGTTAAGAAATTTCCTTTGCTTTAAAAGGGAAATACGAATGTTTCCATAGTTTTTGTGAACATTATTTTCGAGTTTCAAATTACTTCTTGTTTTTTAATAAGTAAAACAAAGTAAGGTCAAGCCTTTTAAAGGGAACGTACAAAACAAAGAACGTGTCGACAGTAGCCTTCGTCAGCGAACAAACAACAGAAAAAACAGAATAAAATTGAAAAAAGTTGCATCTAGTTTAGCCTCTTTCTTCACTTAATCGACCAGAAGCAGAAGGGATGCTAATGGAAAGTTAGGTTCTCTTGACTTTGTTAAATTCATACAATTCATTTTTTGTTGCTGGTTGTTTCGAATATGCATGTGATTTCGTAATTTATAATTAAAAGTATTTACACCTTTTCATTAATGTAATAATAAATTAATGTTTAACAAAATATATATAATTTTAAAAAGCCTTTTGTCTAAAAAAAATTTAAAAAAGGACTTCTAATATCATGATACATGTTGAGCGGAACAGAAACGAAACTATAAGTAGGTCTATCCTATTATAGCTTTATACGTTTATAATTTAAAATAGATTCTCTTTGTGGGAGATTTCCCAAACGGTGGCTTCTCGAAATACGAAACTCAGAAGCCACCACCGTTTGCTTAGATGTTATGTTACAATCCAAGCTGAGCATCTCACACGCTCAATGAACATGCTCATATCATTTACTTAATTTTTTTGTTTCAAGTAACATTTCAAACATGTTGTAACACTAACATTTTTACGTCATAAACGAAGTGCAAGTCATGTTTTGATGGACAACGTCGTTAAAAAGTCTTCAATAACTCAGTATTGTGACGTCACCACGGTTAGTTTTTTTTGTTTTTTAATATTATTTTTAATTAAAAATTACATTTATTCACCAATAATAATGGCAGATGACGTTACTGTTTGACCACTACATTTCGTGGCGTACTGCTACCTACCTTTAAATGGACATAAGGTACTTTGACGTCAGTCAATCATTTTAAAAACATTCATTTTTAAATTAAAATAGTTAATTTTATACTTTTAATATTATATAATCATTTTATCAAAGGTCTTATACATTTACATAACTAGAATATCATTAATGTTCCCATTCAAAATTTCTTAAATGGGCCTCGTGGGCTTTTTTGCGCAGCTGAGATTTCTTGCTTGGTGTCACCTTGCACCTGTCAGTCAGGTAATCCTGCCACTCGTCTGGCGTGAAGCTTTTACTTAAGAGCGTCGACTCCACGGGTATACAAAATTCTATGTACCATTTCGCACAAGTGCTCTGGCAATGCCCCTGTTTAAGAATACGTCTGGCAAAGAATAACGAATAGGTCTAAACAAACGAGATAATATTGTATATTTGGGGAAATGAGTACAAAATATTATAGGGCAATATGAATATTTAACAGATTAATTTTAAAGCTATTTCTGTACGTGAATTCAAGAAAATGCTTACACAAGTTAAAGAAAGCGTCGCTTACCTCTTATGGAAGAACCAATATTGCTTGTGCCTTGAGTTTTTCGTTTGAATGGAATGCACATTGAAACTAGGTTTCAATTTAAAGTGGCATAAGTGGCAAGGAGTACATATGTGACAATCTGGTAGACTTGGTTCAGATACATCACCATTTGACGTACTTGCATTTGACATCTCATCAACAGGTGGAATTTTATGAGATATCACTTTGTATGACGCCCTTGGATTAGATATCTCAGCACCTGATATATTTGATTTAGATTTCACACCATTTAAAGTACGTTCTTTAGATTTCTCAGCATATGACGGTCCTTGTTTAGATTTATCAATATCTGACAGACCTTGTTTAGATTTATCAGCATCTGACAGACCTCGTTTAGATTTATCAGCATCTGACAGATCTTGTTTAGGTTTCTTATCTGGCAGACAGGTTTCATATTTCTCAGTATCTGACAGACTTGTTTCAGATTTCTCAATAGACAGACCTTGTTTAGATTTGTCAGTATCTGACAGACCTCGTTTAGATTTCTTATGTGACAGACTTGTTTCAGATTTCTCAGTAGGCAGACCTTGTTTAGATTTCTCAGCATCTGACAGACCTTTTTTAGATTTCTTATCTGACAGACTTGTTTCAGATTTCTCAGTATCTGACAGACTTGATTCAGATTTCTCAATAGACAGACCTTGTTTAGATTTCTTATGTGACAGACTTGTTTCAGATTTCTCAGTAGACAGACATTGTTTAGATTTCTCAACATTTGACAGACCTTGTTCTGGTTTCAAACTCTCACGTTGTACTGTTTCAACTTCAAGCGTCTTTCTACTCACAGGGCTTCCTTTAAATTTACTCTCTTTTGTCTTGTTTTTATTAGATTTCCTACATTTTGAAAAAACTTTCTTGGACTCGCCCTGATCAACTTTGTCTGGCTCCCGTGTCCCATCATCCGATGACAGTCGAGCAGGATTACCACCATCCAGTGAATCAGTTTTAAATGCGCCAATGACGGATGCGTCTGATTTAGATCCCACAGATCTCGCGGATGTCCCATTTGTTTGTTTCGTTGTGCTCAGAAGAGACCCGGGGTTGAGATATAGTTTCTGTACTTTGGCTCCTGTTGATGTTCTAGCTCTCCTGTTGAATTTAAGACGTTCTTTCTTCAGGGCTCGCTTTGACTTCCCCGTAAGATTTTCTCTTAACAATTCACCCACCCCTGTACCTGCATGATCGTGTTCTGCTATGTTGTCCGTAGACGTGATTAGCACTTTAAGTGTTGAAGTTGGCCTGGTAACACGGAATTCGACAAAAGGCTTGGCCTCTTCTTCTCCTCCTTTTGCGTTAGCTTTTCGTTTAGTACGGATCTCTTCGGGGGATATACTTTTGTAAAACTTTTCAACCGGTAAAGGATATTTTTCCAATTTATGAGCATTCGATAAAGCTTTCCCATTCCTGGGTCGCCCTGGGATGGGTTGTGGATCTTCTTGCACTGTTGCTATGGGATGTTTGCCTTTCTTTGGGGGATTTTTACCGTTCTGTATGGGATGTTTGCCGTTCTCTATATCAACTGAAGTCTTAACACGAGCTTTGTCACCTGCTTGTTTAGATTTAACGGTGTCACGCATCAAATCGACAATTGTGACTTGTTCATGGTTATGACTGTCTCCTGCTTTGGGGCTTTCGTTGTCAACACCGCTTCCTTTGCTTTCGTTTTGGCGTTTGAGAGCCGCCGTTTTGTTACGCTTGCATCTTCTGCTGACTGAGAACCCCTGGGTTCCTTCGTTTATATTAAAACTTTCGTTTGCGACCTTAGATTCCTTTGTTGAGTTTTTCGCTTTTGTTTCATGCGCAAACTTTCTGTTTGGCGTTTCTCGAAATGTGACTTTGGCTTTAGTTTCATGCGCTAGCTTTGTGTCTTTGACTTCTGGAAATGTGACTCTGGCTTTCATTTCATGCGCTAGCTTTGTGTCTTTGACTTCTGGAAATGTGACTCTGGCTTTCGTTTCATGCGCTAACTTTATGTCTTTGACTTCTTGAAATGTGACTCTGGCTTTCGTTTCATGCGCTAGCTTTGTGTCTTTGACTTCTGGAAATGTGACTCTGGCTTTCGTTTCATGCGCTAGCTTTGTGTATTTGACTTCTGGAAATATGACTCTGGCTTTAGTTTCATGGGCTAACTTTGTGTCTTTGACTTCTGGAAATGTGACTCTGGCTTTCGTTTCATGCGCTAACTTTGTGTCTTTGACTTCTGGAAATGTGACTCTGGCTTTAGTTTCATGCGGTATTTTTGTGACTTTGAACGTTTGACGTGGCTGAAAGACGTTTATTTGTAGTGGTGATTTAGCTCCATTTGTTTGCTTGGGAGTTGAACTTTTCTCTCCAGCCTTAAGATTATATTTTATCATGTAAGAAACTTCTTTCGACTTCTCTTCAGCCCTGTTCTTTCTTAGAGATTTTGAATCATCTTTGCTTTTCTTTTGTTTTTGTGTGTCCTTATTCTTGTTCTCTTTTCTCTCATCTTTTGATGTCTCCTCTGGTCGCTTGGAAGATTTATTCTTACCCATGACTTCAAGGTTTCACGATATCTTGCCTCTGTCTACTCCAGGTTAATGTCTTTTCTTTGCCTGAGATTGTCCGTGAACATCTGTCATTTAAAATAAAAGCGGATTATTTTATTATCTGGGTACTTTTCGAAGAAACCTCTATCACTAATATTCACAGAATCACATTCTAAATGATTTTATTTTCTACTTTAGTTAAATTGCTGGATTATAACATTGATGCTCTTTCTCTAAGTAGAGGTTAATATCATTTAATGCCGCAGATACCTTATAATCATTTTTTGTACGCCACCATAATCATTAATAACCATATTGCGCATCACTTCTTAATGCGCACTTACTAAGTAATTATTAGTACTGAAACACAATTATCGAATGAAATAAATCACTCCTAAGCTAGATAAAATAATTACTCAAAAATCGTTACGTTTAGAATTCATTTGATTTATAACCTTATATGGCGGCATCGCGTCGAAAACGGGGTCGAAACTCCTCCAGTGTTGTCTCCAGCTAAAGAACTGGCTGGAGTCAACTCGCCGGTCTGTCATTTTCTGGGAGGACGTGGCCCATCAGCAAAACATAACCCCCCCCCCCGAAAAAAAACCCCAACAACATTAACGTCCCCCGTCAAAGTCTGAGAACGGAGGCCAACTTGACCTGGGATCAAACATCGCATATGCACGTGATAACACGCAGCCAAACTAATTAAATCTCAAACTTACGAAAGCAAACCTATACTTATTTTAAGCTGCAAGTATTAGTCCCTAAGCCAGTTCAGTCCACATTGCGGGGGGGGGGGGTGAATGTCTCTTTTTGCACGTGATAACACGCAGCCAAACTAATTAAATCTCAAACTTACGAAAGCAAACCTATACTTATTGTAAGCTGCAAGTATTAGTCCCTAAGCCAGTTCAGTCCACATTGCGGGGGGGGGGGGGATCAATGTCTCTTTTTCTTGATAGCTTTAACATTATCGGTCATTTGAAAACTACGATCTGTGAAAAGAATTTACTTTTTTTTTCTTTTAAAGTGTAGTGACAACCATGGGCGCCCATGGTGACAACATACATTTTAAATTATCTTTTTTATTATTATTATTATTTTATTTATTTTTTTGTGTGGCCTGCTAAGATTTTAAAAACATGTTTGTATTTGTGACGAATTGAATGATGTCATGATGCTGTATTTTCTTTGGTCTCCTTGCCTTTTTGGTCTCCTTGCCATTTTGGTCTCCTTGCCAATTTGGTCTCCTTGCCATTTTGGTCTCCTTGCCAATTTGGTCTCCTTGCGAGTTTGGTCCCTTTTAACGTCTTTTTTTAAAAAACTGGGCATGATGTAACGATGTTCCTATCCCTTCGCCATTCCCCACCCCAACCCCACACACCTACTTGTTATATTTAGGTCTCATTTCATTGTGCCTACTTCTCTGTCATCTTGTCTGTATCTGTTCCTGCACTTAGTTATCGTCCGGTTTTTTTGTTCATTTTTTTTTTCAAATATCGTTGAAACAGAAAGTATTTCCTGTAACCAGTTATCTGTTGATATGGATAAGCCAAAATCTAGGCCAATCTTATCATGACCAAAGATAACAGCAGTTCTGGTTATTAAATCGGGTTACGGTGACTTGGGAAATCAGAGGCGTAAATAACCTGGCCACATTATTCTCATGGGACCTGCGCGGTGCTGGCTGGAAAGCGAGGGTGGTGCAAGAGTGGGGCGGAAGCTCCACCTCAGTGTGCATGCCTCGAGACGAACGATGGGCAGGCAAGGGAAGGGAGGGAAGGGTTTGCCTGCGGCTTGCTTGCTCTGGCGTATCTACATACAGCCTGCGTGATCGTCGTCTGCTTGTTTGCCCTACTTCTGGCGAATTATATATATAGATAAGTATAAGTATTTAAAATCTTTCTAGGATGGGGTCCATAACCATAATCTGAATTGCAAAGGGGTTAGTGGCCTTCGACTGACGGGCTAAGTATCGATTTAAAAAGGTTTTAGAGACCCTGATCAAAATGAAACCTTTATCAGCTTGGTTGTATTTATTGCACGACTCCACCATAGCCTTGACCTAGTTTGTATCCCTTCAACGTTCTATTTTTAAATGTAAACAAACTGATTGTAAGCATAGATCATCCAGCGAACAATCTTCCATGTGGATCGCGGTGACGTGATCATTATTACGTGCACTCTATTTTCGTTTTGAGAACTGTGGTTTTAACTTAATGCTCGAACTACTGGCTCTTTAGATTTGGATCCGGATGAAACGTTTGCTTCAAAAAGACTAATTAATAAGCCGAGATCCATCTTTGTGGTCTGAAAGGCTTTTAGCACGGTTGCATGCTTGAGTACTTTATGAAATATACTTATATACACAGAATTGACATTTTACACGAAATAAAGTAACTTTCTCTTTTTAAAAAATTAACAAAGGAAAACAGTTGTTTTTTTTTCCAAATTAAAATGATTCATTTTGTTCTTACTTCGCATTATATATTTTTTTAAAGATTAACAACCAACCACTAAAATCATGTTTTTTTCCTATAAATCATTTATAAGCATGTTTTATATTATTTTTTAAAATTATATTAATATTCTAAAGACCAAAACGCTTTTAAAACGCAGATTTAGTTCGTCAACTATTTCAGTAAAACCAAAGAGGACATAACGCTCCAGTGCATTCGCAATATATATTTTAATTAAGAATCTCATGAGATCAGTTATCGGGAATTATACTTCGCGAGATCAGTGGCATCATTTTTTACTTCGTCTTCTTCTTGAAAAAAAAAAAAAGGAAAAACTGACTTGGTGTGTTTGACAGAATGTTCTGTCATGGGCATCGAGTCTATGTGCCAAGTTTCAGCTCGATAGGTTGATGAAAAGTGGGTCAATAAGCTGTCCGATAATTTTTCCACCCAGCCGGAAACACACTAACAAAGTTAACACGAAGTTAATTTAAAAGATTCTAAAATTAAAATGTGCCAAACACGTACTGACTTGAACCATCTGAAGGAGGTTGATTGGAAAGCTCTACATCAGCACATACCTTTCAATGTCCAGCAATTGTTCGACATCACAGAGCAGTTTCGCCTACTGAGCTCATCCACACATCGGAGGGCTTTCTTTTAACGTTTGTCTTTTATAAGCAGGGTCTCCGAATGGGGACCGAATGTGATAAGGGGATAACAATTGCGATCGGGTGTGGAGAGTTTTAGTTTCGTAACGAGGCGAGTAAGAGCCGTATTTAGATGTTTGATAAAACTTTGCCCATGTCAGCATCCGAGCGATGTCCCGCTTTGCTTTCGTTGGCATCGTTTGTTAGGGAGACCCGTTATCTGGAACACGTTTACGGGCCAGTAGGCTATAGGAGCATCATTTAATTTAGCAGCGCTTCTCAATCTGTTTATTATGGTGGATCAGCGAGAATTGAAGTCCATTGTTCATTATCCATCTAATATAATGTTTCATGACTACCTAAACTGCTAGAGGGCGAACGATGATTCAGCTGACCACCACTTTGAGAATCACTATGCTACGCTATAGAAATTTTACCATGATTGTGTAACGGGGAGTTGACGTTCATCATTGTGCTAGACATTTCCACACATGTAAACATGTAAGCATTTCCACATATGTAAACATGTAAGCATTTCCAGGAAATTGAAACACCTATCACGAATGATATTTACCAAGAAATAATAGCTATCTTATCTCATTTTTTTTTCTAAACTCGATTTGTTTTATTTTTTAAAAAAAAACATTTGAAATGCTAAAGGGGGGGGGTGTGTTTGTTGTTGTTGTTGTTGTTTTTTTTTTTTGGGGGGGGGGGTTGGGGTAAAAAAAACATTTGAAATGCTAAAGGGGGGGGGTGTGTTTGTTGTTGTTGTTGTTGTTTTTTTTTTGGGGGGGGGGTTGAGGATGGGGGGAGGGGCATAGCCGTAGGAAGATCGAGCACACCGAAAGAACCACAGCTGCAATTTTTGGGCGGTATTTTCGATCCACTTCATGTACCAAATATTGGCTTATATTTTGATGTGTATCGTGTAAGTCTGGTGAGTGGAGGTCGACAAAGTCAAACACCTTATGGCGAGTTTTGTCCAACTCGCAATGTTCCATTTGGTGTCACCTGTGTTGCCAGCCGTCCATCCAGTTACCAAGAGACCGAAACAAATGTAACCTAAAATGATTTGTCTGTCGTTCAGAACATCAGGATGTCCGTTAAAAACAGACATTCTACAAACACTTTTGAAGCTTGCTGTCAACCTTTTCACTTTTAATGAAGGGGAAGCTGGTGAGAATGACATACAATGAGCTAGCGCTGAAAAATGGTCTCGTGGTTAAATGACTTAGAGTCATAGAGATATTCGTATATGTTAAATGATAATTACATCGAGTCATAAAAATATAGCCGTACGGTCATGGGATTTTTTTAGCGGCATACTTTCCACAACTTATTTAAAATAAGTTTCCTTTAAAATTTTGTTTGTCTTTCAAAATTTTGCAGATTTAAAATTTGTCAGAAAATATTATCTTTTTTTTTAAATTGAGTTGGCACCCTAGGTCTCACCCGCCTGTGGGACCCTTACTCCTGACACCCCCAGTAACGCCACTGCCCCAATTTTGGGGAACATAAACAAAACCATCTATGGACACGTACAGACAAACCTTAAGAAATACCTTCAATATTATTGGGAATTAAAAAATAATGTACGTTGGGTCTTAAAAGGGAAGTAAGTCAGGTTGTTAACTATGTTCTTAGTTGTCGTCACGATGTGCTCCCTTTAAACAGAAACAGGGGTTAATGATTTTTCTTCCTTCCTAACCTTTTTGAGTGAACGATGCGTAGCGTCCAACCTTAACAGTGTTACGCCACCGGCCTTATCTTAATCCGAGAGCTTGTTGATAATAGGGATTAAAGAAAACTCAAATATTTTTGAGATTCCATATCTGTGAGATAGCTGACCATTGCATCTCCAGGTCATTTAGCAATGCGCCTATTTGAAAAAAAAAGTGTTACGGCATC